CCGCCCCGCGCAGCAGGTACCGCGGTCGCACCGGGCCGAGCCAGGCCGCGCCGGGGGGAGCGGGAGGACGAACGGGGCTTGTGCCAGCGCCCGCGGCTGCCTCGGAGCCGGGCCTCGGGCCTCCGTGAGCGGGGACAGCGCGCGCGCGAGAGAGAGAAACTGCGTGTATACACACGGATGTATGCACAGCACACGCACTCACGTCCTGTGGTTAGTCCAAGGCAGTGGTTCTCAACCTATTTTAATTTGTGGCCGGATGGACACCGTTGGACGTTTAGCGGAGGCGCGGGGGATTGGTTGATCAGAGTCATCTTTCTGGACCCCTTAGACATAGTCTGTAGCCCACCGGTTGAAAACCACTGGTCTTAAGGTGCAGATATACATGATTGTGTCCTCACGCGCATATAGACATACATACATACTTAGCAAAGTGTGTGTGGGTGTATGGGGGGTGTACACACACATTTATGTAAGTATATGTATATGTGCATATGTACATGTATGTTTATACACACATCCCTTTATACATATATATACATACACATATATGTGCAAATTCACATGCACGTACGTGTGCATTTGTTTGCACATTGTAGATGAACTAAATTGTGTGTGTGTATACATACATATACACATGTATACATAAATGTATTTGTGTGTGTGTATGTATGCATATGCATGGGAGTTTGTGTGTGCATGTGTATATATGTTATGTGTGTACACACGTGTATGTTTGCACATTATAGACTAACCAAAGTGTGTGTGTGTACTTACATACATATCTCTATACACACACAGACACATGCACACACACTTTGGTTAGTATATAAGGTGCAAGTGTCTGTGTGTGTATACGCACACACACACATGCTTTTGTTAGTTTTAAGAGACAAGCATATGTACATATATGCACTTCCACATACATATATATGGGTATGTACACATATGTGTGTGTGTATACATACCCATATATATATGTATATGTGTGGGTGTATATATAATAAATGCATACATGTTTGTACCTTCGACTAAGTGAAGTGTATATGTGGTGTG